TAGCGGAATATAGAATCCCAGACTGACTTCTCATTTCCCTCAGCACGTTTGTACCCGGAGCCCAAGTTCTGCTGCCTGCCACCACCAAAACCAAACTTGTCAGACAGATGCTGGTGAAAAGGAAACAGGTTTTATTCAAGTGCCAGCCACCTGAGGAGACGGGGACTCTTGTCACAAAGCCCATCTCTATATCTCAGTGGAGGCAGAGGTATTTATAAAGAGAGAGAAGCAACAAAGAACAAAGAAATCGAGGGGGCGGGGTGAAGAGTTCTCTACGTGCCGTCCAGCACAGTCCATTCTGATAAGGACCTCGAGGCTGGTCAAGTCATGATTTGTTGTGAGTCATCCCGGTCTTCATCATCCTGGTTCCATGTTTGAAGGTCAGCAGATCTCCTGGGATGGGGATGACTAAAGGTCAGAGTCTGTATCTTCTGAAGTTAGTTCCTACAATTCTTATGCAAACATGCTGTTTATGTCAAGCTACATATTAGTCATAGTCAGCGTTTACAGAAACAGTTCTTTGCTGGAATCTCACAAGAAAGTTTCCTCTCGGGGCAAAGAAGCCAATCCACATGGTTGCCATCAGGCTTTGCCTGCGATGCCTGTAGGTTTGGATACATTCCTCAACTTCTTGAAGTCCCCAAAATGTGTGAGGTTCTCTCATTGCTATCTCCCAGGAAAGCAACCTTCATCCCTTGCCTAGAAAGACTGCCATGAACCATGTGAATAAGCAAGGTACCAGACTCCTTTTCCAAAGGGCTTTTATCAGCTTCAAGTCAGCCTTCATTCCTTAAAGCCTCTTGTGGACATTCAGAGTCTAGGCATGTCTCTCTCAAATGTGACATTCCAGTTAAAGTCTTGGTTAATAAAACTACAACTGGAAACTGGCTTTATGTGCCCTGTTATGAAGAAATCAGATTCCTATTGCATTTATGCAGACAAACATATTGCCAAGAAAATGATAATATTCATTAAGAGTTTCTAATTCTGGAGGGGTCAAGTAGGGAGAAAAATATAAATGCTTTAATATTGCTTATCAAGGTACAATTTACTAAACTGCTTTAAAATGGAAGTTTCCTTATGTCTGGAAAACAAATAGATTACAAAATCAGCAGTACTTTCAACAAAAAGTTACAACTATAGTCTTCTTCAGTTCATTCAGCCCTATAATCAGCCTTGGTTTCTCCTGATTATTTGCTAGTACTTCCATAGATTCAGATGTTCCCCAGAGGTCTAGTAATCTTCATCCAGTTCAAGGAGATAATTTGAAAATTTGTTCTCAGAGATATATAACTTAAAATAAATCAGAATCTTTCCACGCATCTCTCAGAAGATGTAACACTTTTGCAAATGTATTTTAACAAAACAGTGGCTATCTCTAAATGACAAAAGGAACTTAAAATTACATGGTTATAGATTTCATTATAATGTGATTGACATGGAATGCTGTCCTTTTTACAAGACAGAACATTTCAGAATAACAAAGAGTTATAAATAAAAGTATATCAGAATTTTATAGCTGCTTGAAGATTTTTATATAATCTATAGAACATCCACTTTAATATAGTTATTATTTCTTTATTTGACAAAGTTTCCCATTTACCTTAAGTAAAAATTGTTCCTTCATAAGGAAAGAAAACAAATCCTTGAAGCATTCTAGGGGCCCATTGGAATGACCCAAAGCCAATTTTATGTCAAGAAAAAGTCTCTTAAAATCCAAACTCTGGGCCCTGGCCGGTTTGACTCAGCGGTTAGAGCGTCGGCCTGAGATCCTGAGAGACCCGGGTTCGGTTCCCGCTAAGGGCGCGTACCTCGGTTGCAGTTTGTCCCCGGCCCTGGTTGGTCGTGCGGGTGGCAGCCACTCGATGTATTCCTCTCACATCGATGTTTCTCTCTCTGTTCCTCTCTCTCCCTCCCACTCTGCCTGAACAAAAAGTGGAAAAATGTCCTCGGGTGAGGATAAAAAAAAAAAAAATCCAAACCCTGGGAAGGTTGTCAAACATATTTGACCAAAAGATTATATATTATTATGAAACAATATTAAATTATGTATTCATTCAAAGTGACTACAAAAGGTATTAAACACAAACACAGGCTAGCAAAACTTCAGTTCTTAGGATTAAAAAGATGGGTTTTTAAGTAATCAAGAGCCTGGTTAATATAACATAACAATTATTTCAATACTATATAGAATCTTTGCCTTCTAGATAGAGACAGGAAAATACTATTTTCCCTTTTCCTTTTCTTTCTTGAGTATTCCTATTCCAATATCCTTATTACATCCCTTTCTTTTATTCCTTTCGCCATTTTACTGCCTTAATTTTTTATTTGGCATCTTCCCTCTACACAATCCTTCTTCAATTTGACAGACCCTCTGCAACTTGCACAGACCTATTGTGACCTTCCTAGTCCCTTTCAGTTTCCTTTTAAACTTATTTAGAAACAACCAGCATTACAACAACCTACTTTCAATTCTGTGCTACCAAAACCACATAGTTTCCTTTTTACTTAAATAGAATTCTCAATTCTTAGAAACCTTACTTTTTAATAACAATTAATAGCAAGCAATTATTATTTTTTAGATTGGCAAATTTATGAACACATTTTATAACTTTCAGAAACAGATATTTTTCCATTGGGAAATATACTTACCTTTTAAAAAATATGTTTTAATTGATTTTTTTAGAGAGGAAAGGTGAGGAAGACAGAAACAGCAATGTGAGAGAGATCCATTGATCGGCTGCCTCCTGCACGCCCCCTACAGGGGAACAAGACTGCAACCCAGGCATGTGCCCTGACCAGGAATCGAACTGGGACCTCTCAGTCCATAGGACAATGCTTAATCCAACATGCCACACTGGCCGGGCATGGTTACAATTTTAAGAGGTATAACAGAGACAACATAACCATGACAACTCTTGGGGGGCTGGAGAAAAGGCGGGGGGGGGGTGTAGATAGCAGGCCCCACAGCTTGTTCCTGGGACTGCAGCAGCTCCAGGGCCTCCAGAGGCTAGAATTTAAAAGTACTATTTTTTCCCCTTTATATTGAGGCGGGGCACTGGTCCCAGCTGCCCCCACAGCCTACACAGGTGTCGGGTGGCATTAATTTCCCCATTGTTCCCAGGACTGCAGCAGTTCCTGGGCCTCCAGGAGGAGGATTTACAGTGTTTAAAAGACTTATTTCATCACATTTTTCTTTTACTCTCTGGGAGAGGAGTGAAATCTTTTTCCCTTCTTTGAACCATCAATTTAGATTTTTCTGATAAGAATTCATATAGTCTAATAACATGAAAGCTTGCACATAAGAGATCTTACCCTATTTACCAGACCTTGAGCAAAACAACTCCAGTTGCAAAATAGTAATAACAATTAAACAGGAAGGAGCAAGCAACTGTATAGCAGTATGATTCCTATGCAAATTTCTCTAAGCAGCAATATTCCAAATTATCTCTGGTCCCTAGATCAGTACTAGACACAAATACAATAAAATGTTTGCTAGATAGATATTTAAATGATGGAGAGTGATTATCAAAGCATATACAGTTATTTCTACATCTGTAGGAAAAAGACTTCCTCAATCATTGTAAACACAAAGACATTCTTTTATTCGGAGAAACTGTTACAGGAGATTCTGTAACGTATGTCATTATGGCACCTATGTGAGTGTGTTTTTCTTAACGTTCTAACATGTTTATTAAGCAACCACTATGTAGTTGTGGACCCCAAGACAAAAGATTCACTTGATGTGAACCCTGAGAAGGAATTTAGTTGCTGAAATGGATTCCCCATGGCTAACTAAGGGTCCAAATTTTATGAACAATAAGAGCCTAAAAGTGGCCATTTGCTGACAGGAGCTCCACACTGCTCTGTATACTGGGAAGCACCTCAGACTGAACTCTTGGCTTCCCGTACATGCCTCGGATCAACCACTGTAGGTAAGCCCTGGTTTTACCTTTTACCAAGGGACTCAGACCTCCTGTGCCCAATCGAACTACAGAAATTGTATCCTTGTTTGCATCTATATCAACCAATCATAATTTCATGATTTGGACCAATTAGAACAGCACAATTTGAAAACCTCATCTGAATAAATTTGGGAATATAGGCAGAAACTTTCTCTACAAAAGATGGCCTCCAGCCTTGGCAGGTTTGGCTCAGCGGTTAGAGCGTCGGCCTGCAGACCAGAGAGTTCTGGGTTCAGTTCCCACTAAGGGCACGTACATTGGTTGCAGTTTGTCCCTGACCCTGGTTGGGGTTGTGCGGGTGGCAGCCACTCGATGTGTCTTTCTCACATCGATGTTTTTTTTTTTTCTCTCTCTCTCTTCCTCCTGCTCTATCTGAAGATGAATACACACACACACACACACACACACACACACACACACAAAATACGGCCTCTATTTTGATACGCTTAGTTATTTGAACTTCTTATAACCACAATTGAGGTTGCTACCTAAAACTGTTTCTCCTGGGCGGCACCTCTGTTTGCTCAGATAAATGCTTTTTATTCTCTATTACAGCCTAAAATTATTTTTGGTTTACAGAGTAGACCCTTAGAAGAACCCGTGTGCAGATGTACAGATGGATCACACGAGGCCCGCGTCCTGGTCCTACAGCTGAGGAGGTGCTGTGGAGAGCATGGCTGTCATGTGATGCAGTGGAAACTATTACGTTTGCCATGATTTCATTCTTGAGGAAGGCTACGTCTCCAGGGAACTTGAGAATGGAGACGCTGCTCCAAGTCAAGCAAGGGCAGCATTCTTCTGGGGAGCTGGACGGAGAGAGAGAGAAGGGGGAGTGGAGGCAACGAGGGCAACGGCCACATGCATGTGTCACGATGTCACAGCGTGTACACCTCTGCACCCCTGTGCCATGTATCCAAAAATCAATAGCCTTGTGGCAGACTTACAATGAAATAATGAGAAATCTGTAATCATAGTGTGATCTTTTCCAACACTTTTCCAGAAATTGGTAGCTAACATTAATAAAAAGCAAAGAAGTCCAAGACTAGACTCACGTCCTGAGAACTGCTGTCCTGGTGTGCTCGAGGTCTCGGAGAGAATCTGCTGGTCTCGACTCACTGGCAAGGGCAGTCAGTGCCCCTGGTAGTGCCCAGATCAGGAGCACACCCTCCCCAACTCCTAGACAGACGGGCTGTCTGGCATGTTTCCTCACACCCACCAGGGAGTCGGTACCTGCCATCGTGTGTTCTAACCCTTTTCTCTACTCTTCTAAAAAAATAGTAATAATAACAAGCAAAGAAGCACAATAAATATACTTAACTAACGAATATATATTTAGAGCACTCTACCCAATAATCAGAGAATAAACTTCCAAATGATGAATGGTCACGTAGAAATCATAAAAGAAATTAGAAAGTACTTGGAAGTGAGTGCCAGTGAAGACAATATATGTTACAATGTGTGGAATGCAGCTAATGGAGTGCTTAGAAAGGAATTACATTCCCGAGGGCATGTGCTAGAAAAGAAGGAAGATCGAAAGCAGTATTCAGCTCTAGAAGTCTGGAAAGAGAAAGTCTGGCATTGCAATACAATGTGGTAAAGTGTAAAATAGATGCATATGTAACCTAGTGTATTATGGAAGGACACGGGGTGGGGGGTGGTCACTAAATCATCACTAATTCTTCCATGAGGAGGACATGATAGGGGCTTCAGGTGGCTCTTGGAGGACACGTTAGAGCTAGTAAACGGACTGGGTTTAAGGGGAGGGGCAATGCAGGCACAAAGGACCTACAGGTAACTTCAGAGGCTTAGAGAGCATGACAAGTTATAAGAAGTTCAAATAACTAAGCGTATCTAGATTCACAGGTATAGCAGAGGATATAATAATGAGATGTTAGGTTGTGATACTTGTGAACAAAGGACTTATTTTTTTCCGCCATGACTTTTTTTGGTCAAATAAAGGAATTTAACTGTAGGCTGAAGGTAATAAGGAGTCACTTAAGAGTTTTAAGCAGAACAGCATGAGCTGATGTTCTGCAGGACTCAAGAGCCTTACGTTCATTCATTTCACAGCTATGTATTGAGCACCTACTGTTGTTCTTTAACCTGTACTGCTCACAACTTTGAAAAGAAAGGTCTAGATACAGAAGATATTTGGAGACCAGGTTAACACTTCAAATTTAAAAATGATGAAGCTTGTACTAAGCTGGTGGCAGTGGGGTAGCCACCCCATCAGGTGCACAGGCAGTATTTATTTATTTATTTTTTCTTAATTGATTTTAGAGAGAGGGGAAGGGAGAGGGAGAGAGAGGTAGAAACATCGATGAGAGAGAACATCTATTGGCCGCCTCCTGCATGCCTCCCACTGGGGATCAGGCCCACAAACCTGGGCATGTACCCTGACAGGGAATTGAACCAGCGACCTCTTGGTGTATGAGTCAGTGCTCAACCACTGAGCCACATCAGCTGGGTGCAAGGAGTACTTAATGCTTAGTGGAGCTCCTTGTCCATTATGTGGTCTATCCTGGGCAGGAGCTAGGGCTAGGCCTGGGGTACACTGGACAGTGCAATTCTAGAGAACAATGACTGTCCAGAAAACAAAATGTAGCCTGGAATAAATTACCGGAATAAGGCGACATCAGAGTGTAAAGGGTGCAGAGTCATAGACGTATCAGGGGATGGTGATTCAAGGCCTCTGTCCTCTGTTGGGCTGAGAGTAGCCATCCCCACTGGATAAGTCTGCTGTGCTCTTGAGCATGAGGATCAGACATCACCCTGGAGGACCGAACACAGACACTCTTCCCAATCCTAAATTTTGTGGGAATACAGTTCCATGGGATTAAAGAGAAACTTGAGAGCCTTACCTAGAGCATTATCTGATTGTTTAAGAGGCACGGTGTTGAATAATCTCTGGGAGGGGGGGCTTCTGTGGTCCAATGCTCGTCCTGTTGGACGCCTGGAAAATGGAATCAGATGCTCCCTGTCTCCAGGCCTGGAGCAGGGTTCCAGAATCTCTGCAGTGACAGCCAGAAAAAACCTCCTTCCCCTCGTGGGAAGGAAGGGGCAGTACACGCGACCACACCAGTCCCCGGGGCCCAGAGTCCTCGGGAAGAACTTCCCACACTCCGACATGGGGGCGGCCCTGGAAGGGGCTCTGAGGGCAGTGCGAGGCCCTGGTCTCTCTGGTGCCCCCAGGAAGAACACTGGATAGTAAACTTCATGTGAAGAAAACTACCTCTGAGTGGAGGGTTGGGGTAAAAATACCTCCAATCTGTAAACAAAGTAGTTGGAATGTCCTGGAGGCACACTGCAGGGGCCGCGCCACTGTCAGCCCCTCTCTGCCGGTAGTTAGGGTCCTCCACCCCCACTCCTCTCCCCCTGGGCCTCAGGGCAGGTGCTCCGGGGCTTGGCCTCAGGCCAGCTCAGGCAGCGTGCAAGTCCTGATACTCATTCAAACCCCAGACCAAGAGCACAGATTAGGAAAAGTTTCTCACCTTCTCCCCAGGCCAGTGGAAATATTCACTAGGTCAAGGAAAAAAAGACCTGGACTGTGTTATCTCACCAAGATGTCCTTCCTGAAGGGGTCTGTGAAGTGTTGTTTACTAGCCTGCGCTGACACCATGTCCCTGGTGACGGGGGCACTCAGCCAAGCTCTGCTTCTCTACTTCCTCCAAGAACTGCAGCAGACACCCTGACAGAGGAATTTGGGCCTCGTGATTCTTAGGGCCCCAGCCTCAGGGAAGCAAATCCTGTGTCAGGCTTCCATTGTGGGCATGTGATTGTCTGTTCACTGTTGTTGTGTTGTGTTTTCATGTGCACTGGTGAGTAAGAGACCCTGGCTGATGGTGAAGCAAAGGGGACACTTTAACTCCTCCCCCAGCAGAGGTGAGAGATTCTTTCACTAATGGACTGCATGATAGTTTTACACACACACACACACACACACACAATCTAGGACATGAGCATCCACCCTCCTTATGCTGAAATATAAAAGGCCTGATCAATTGCTTTTTGAAAAGACCTTTCTCAGGGAACCCACTGTATGGGAGAACATATTTGTCAATGATACATCAAATAAGATGTTAATTTTCAAAATATATAGAGTGCTCATACATCTCAGCAAAAGGAAGACAAACAATCCAATTAAATAATGGACAGAGGACCTGAATAGACACCTCTCCAAAGAGGACATTCAAGTGGCCAAGAGACATATGAAAAAATGCTCAATGTCACTAATCATCAGAGAAATGCAAATGAAAATGACTATGAGGTATCATCTCACACCTGCCAGAATGGCCACCATCAACAAATCATCAAACAAGTGCTGGTGAGGATGTGGAGAATGGGGACTCTAGTTCACTGTTGATGGGAATGCAGACTGGGGCAGCCACTATGAAAAACGATATAGTGTTTCCTCAAAAAATTCAACTGCCATTTGACCCAGTGATTCCACTTTTAGGAATATATCCTAAGAAGCCTGAACACCAATGAAGAAGAATATATGTACTCATATGTTCACAGCAGCGTTATTTACAATAGCTAGGATCTGCAAACAGTCCAAGTGCCCATCAGTAGACGGGTGGATAAAAAAGCTATGGTAGAACCTGGCCGGTGTGGCTCAGTGGATTGAGTGTCAACCCATGGACTGAGAGGTCCTGATTTGATTCCCATTCAGGGCACATGCCCAGGTTGTGGGCTCATTCACCAGTAGGGGGCATGTGGGAGGCAGCCGATTGATGTTTGTCTCTCACATCGATGTTTCTATCTCTCTCTCCCTTCCTCTCTCTCTAAAAAAATCAATAAAAACATATTTTTAAAAAGCTGTGGTACATGTACACAATTGAATACTATGCAGCTGTAAGAAAGAAAGATTTCTTACCCTTTGAGACGACATGGAGAGACCTGGAGAATATTATGCTAAGCGAAATAAGCCAGTCAAAGAAAGACAAGTTCCATATGATCTCACTTATTTGTGGAATATAATGAACAATATAAGCTGACAAAATAGACATGGAAGTAGGAATCTGACAAATCTTAGAGGGAAGGGAGTGAGGCAGGGATGGGATGGGAAGAGATAAACCAAAGAACTCACATGCATATATGCATAACCAAAGGACACAGAGAACAGAACAATGAAGAGGAAGATGTGAAGGGGGGCATGGGGAGGAGGCTGTCAATGAGAGAAAAAAAGGAGGAACATCTGTAATACTTTCAACAATAAAGATACATTTTTTTAAAAAGACCTTTCTCTAGGAAGCCACTTAAAGCCAAAACTAGCATTATTATTGTCCGATAGCCTGGGGACTGGCGCCAGGCACAGTGCTCGACCATTGTCTCGCTTGCTCAGCCTTGCCTCCCACCCTGAACGGCCTGCCTCGAGCTTGTAGACTAACTCACATTCCAGAGGCTCCATGCATAGCCCCTGCAGGGCCAAACCCTAAGGGACAAATTCCAGCTGCAACAGGCAGATATAAAAGACACGAGCCCCTACATTGAGCGCGGCTTCTAGGACTCGACCCCCGGAGTCTGTGAACCCGCCCGGAGTGCACCCAATATAGCCTGATCCCTGTTTATTCGGCTGATTGGCTCTCCAGTCTCTTCTCTGTTTTATTCGGCGGCGCCCCCGATTCCTTACAATTATTGCCTTTTTCAGTGGAACCTCTACAAAGTAGAGGAATATGCAAATAAATGGAACTGCAGACCTTTCCTTCTCCAGCACAAGCAGCATGCCCTGTAGGGGGGATGGAGGTTTATCTGCCACTATTTCCAGGGCGGAGGGGGTCTTTCTACTTAAAGAAATACTTTGATGAGGAAGAGCAGAGGATGATAGTTGAGATAAAATGGGAAAGAATGGAGTTGGAAATACAGCAAGGAAGGCAGGACTTAAATGGAAAGAAAATACAGCAACAGAATCTTCGATAAGCCCAGAGGAGGAATACTTTAATCAGCTGCTCTGGGTCAGAGAGTGTCCTCAGCCAGCGGCTCTCCCTTCTCTCATGCTGAGTGGTTGACCTCAGTGATGGTTAGGTGCACAGTGGTATAGTGAAAGAACAGAACCACAGTCATGTTACTTTTAAAGAACATAGTCAGAAAAAGATACCGGGCAGGACTGGAGCGAGGGGGAGCGTGTAAGTGTGAGTGCAAAAGAGACTGTGAGCAGATGTGAG